AGCTGTCACTTCAACTTGGGACATAATTCACATACAGGTTTCCCTTGCCAACCACAGTTTTGCCAACCATGGTTTTGACTACCCACACTTAATTTTCTATATACTATTTTGGCTACCATAGTATACAGTTTTGAGTAACCACGGTTTTCCATGGCCGCACATCAGCCTGCCACCTGGCATTTTCCCCATAAGCCTTTTGTCTTGCCAGCCACACTTTTGCAAACCACAGGAACTTTCAGGAACCTAACCCCAGCGGTTGGTGAGGGAAACCTGTAAGTACTCTTGAAAATTCCACCCGACCTTTACTTTAGTCACCAGAGTCTAAGAGTGATAGCCCAAGACAGTCTGAAACTAGTTTAAGCAGAAAAACAATATGGAGAACATTGTAGTTAGAGGTTTGAACATATTATTTTCTCCCTTTTTTGTGCAGAAGTTTGAACTTCTGTAGACCTCTTGGTCTTACATGGAAAAATAATAATAGAAATCTGTACAGCACTCTGTAATTGTATCAAGAATGTGTGATTATTGCATGAGGGGGGAAATCAGCAATTGCATTTACCAACTTAAAATCTATGCTTGAACCTTCTCAGCTATCCAATCTAAAGTCCTTTTAAAAATTAATTTTGTTCAGCTGGAGGAAATGTAAAGGCAGACATTTTGCAGCTTATGACTAAATCACAAGGCAATGTTATTTCTTTAGTTCCCTGTTCACAACATTCCTCATCTTGCCTTCTGCTCAAGGTGTTTTCAGTTTGCTCTGATTTTGTTTTTTCTGTGTTATTCCCACAATGGAGTTCTAGTATTTTTTTAAAATCAGCTGTTTATAAACACAACCACATTTGGAACAGTTTGTTAAATCTTGAACTATTTATTTTATGCAAATAATATCTCATTAAACATTTTTCTTTTAAGTACATAATGTGGGATTAAGGTGTGGTATAAGAATATATATTTGGCTTATATAGTCATTACTTAGATACTGTCAGAACCCATTGTTCATATGCCTGTAGTGCAGTGGAGGATTACAGAAGGCAGTCTGTCAATCATTCTGTAAGTAGGTCATGTAATTAGGTCACGAGGGGAAAACTCCAGAGCCCAGTGACTATATGTTATGACCTAGAAAAAGTTCCCACCAATTTGTAGCTTTCTTTGCAGTGTGCATTTCTTCTTTGGAGCACAGAAATGCACGGTGCAAAGGAGTTCCCGCCAATCTTATGTAAATTTGTACCCCACTATTGGACTGTTCTAAATTATTCCTACCTGGCGGCTACTGATTGGCTTGCTAGCCGTATAAAAAGCTTGAGCAGTTTCCGCCCAAGTTGGAGAGCTCCACACACACCTCGTGGAGACCTCTAAGTACACTGTGGAGCCTAGCAAACTCCACGCGTTTCAGAGCGAACTTAGCGGCCTGATCAACCACTAAGGACTCCCCGTCACCGACCCAAGGGGGCCTAGCACACCCCCACCCGAGACGTAAGACGACTACCGGCCCAAACACCCCGAACACATCTGCAGACCGACCAACATCTTTGTAATTTCTCCCTGACCCAAGTTTTGTTTACAACCGTAATCGAAGCAAGCTTCTGGCCTGCACTGTACGAGCAGTGTAAGTAAACAACCTTTTTGTTTAATCAAAACGCGTCAGTACCTGATTCCACTCCAAGCATCACAAGTACCCGCCCGCCGACTAGGGCTCCTAAGGCCCCGAACCCCGCGCCGTGGCTCTCGGCGGCAAAAGATACCAGTGTGATAGTCACTGTATAAAACTCATACCTAGGTGAAAGAATAACACATTTTATGAACTTCAGCATGCTAAAAAGATAAGAATCCAGATTAACTTGATTTGTTAGGTAGCTGAGTAAGAAAGGACAGAGACCAAGGAGGAGAATATGTATATGTGTATGCAAATATAACACCCACACTGCTGTTTTTAGAAAGTCCCTTTTTCCCATTAATCAGGTACATTAAATCTTTCCAACAGTGCACTGTGCAACTGAAGGACAGAAACATGAATCTGAAAAAAAGAATTCACATAACATGAGAAGGTCAATTTCTGTCTTCTGAGCAAGAATTTAAGGTTTTATCCATTGTACAGGAATCAATATTCCTGTACAATGGATAAAACCTTAAATTCTTGCTCAGAAGAAAGACAGAAATTGACCTTCTCATGTTATGTTATTGACCTTCTCAGTTAGAAATCTTAAACATCATTTTGGGTCTTTTTTGTTTGTTTTGGATAAGGGGGAGAGATTTTTCTGGGAAAAAAGGTATCTCCATCCTTTTTTATTTTGCAAAAGAATAACAATTTTCAAGAGACCTTTTTAAGGGCAGTTTTGGATGACAACTGCAATTTATAAGACAGGAATAATAAAGATAATTTTGTTGAATCAAATGTTAAGAGCAAAGTCTCTGAGCTGAAAATGCAAGTTTGTAGAGCTTGTAAAAGGAGCTGTGTACACAAATGAAATAATCTCTTTTATAGGGTGCAAATACAAAATGGCTGTAAAGAGAAAAAAGAAAATTAATATTTTGATCAATCCTGACATGCCGCAGCCTGATGTGAGTGATACAGAAGTGAGACAAGATGACCCAGAGAAACTGAGGTACAGGGCAAATACAAAGATAAAGGAATCATATTACCCCAGAGAACATCCTTGCACTAATTGTGGGATTGCTCTGAAAGGTGTGCTTTTGTGAGCATTGTAAGGAAATCAGATGCTAAAACAGAGGTCTCCTTTCATGCAGTTTTCCCTCCCAAGATGGGTGAGGTACTGTACTGGGACTTGCTCTGAACTGCTACGAGTGAGTCATGACCACGAATTCCAGGACTTAAAAGCATATACAATCAATCACCCTTGCCTTCCAAACCACATTGTTTAATAAATATGCAATCAAGACCTCACTGAAGGAAATGGAATGGCCAAGAGCATAACTGACCATTCTTGTACACTGTGGAATTATACATTGTGGGCTGATTCTCCTCTTGTCTCAGCGTAAATCAAGCGTGAGTCTTGAAATTACATGGACACTGGCCTAAAAGTGTTTGGAAGTAAGAATCAACCCTTTTATCTTTAGAAAAATGAATAAAGAGCAAAATGTAAACCCAAGCCAGATAAAAGAGGGGAAGGAGTGGAGGAGAAAGTACAAACAAAGGGTTAGCATAAAGGAGAATGCAATAAGATACAAAAAAGTGAGGAGAAGGAAGGAGAATTCAAAAGCAAGGGGATGGGGAATTAAGATGATAGGGCACAGGAGAGAAGATGAAAGTCCATCCTACCATGAAGTGTTACAAACAAGAAATGAAGTCCCCTGTAGAACACAGGTAAGTCTTACTACTATACATGCCAACTCTAGTTAGAGGCAAGAACAAATTACCTCAGCCTATGGCAGAGAAATTCAGAAAAAATTAAAAACAACACATAGGGGGAAAGGAGGCATCCCACCAGATACTCCTCAGAACATCAATCTTCCAGGAAATTCAGTCCCTTGCTCTGATAACTATCGAGGAGTAAACATACACTTTTTTCTAAGTAGCTCCAGAGCTCCAGATGAGCTCCAGAGCTCATCACAATGCATCAAGGGGACACATTTGCATTTATAGTACATATATCATGCTACTTCTGTGATGCATTTATGCCCAGAACTGACATGGATATAGATATGTCAGGACATATTTGGGGGATGCACTCTTGGATGGCTTCAGAATTTGTCATATATGTGAGTCGATGCAAGTGTAGAAGCCAAAGGATAGTGATGAGGGTGCCAGAGCAAGCATTACATTAGAAGTGGTAAGCATCACTAACAGAGCAGAGAGTGTTGGGGTGAAAAATGATATCATGGGGCTTATAATGATATCGGGCTTATAGTGCCCCTCATTTACATTGCGACATTGTTTCTCTTACTGCATTGTAAGAAGGCCTTGTATGTGACTTGGTTTTGTTATTTCAGGAACAGCTTGCTATTATGTAAATAAACACCGTGGGTGAAATCCTGGCCCTTTTGAAATTGGTAGGAGTTACACTGACTGCAACAGAACTAGGATTTCATCCTGTATCCTAATGTAGGGCATACAGGTAATTGTGTGTGCAAGTAATGCTCATACATTTTCATCATTCTGAAGACTGGGACATTAAATGTTCTTTTTGGTGCTTTGAAGATATAAGAATAAGTTAAATTATATGTTATCATTATTAGCTTTCTATAGAAAATGTTTCCAGATACTGAGTAAACTCCTTTTTGCTTACTGGAACATTTGTTTATGGGAACAATTTGTATTTCTTATTCAGCTTGTTTGAGTGATGCTAGGATTACTTATTTACGTACTAGTCATATCATACCCCCTGTACTGGATTTTGCAGCCCTTATACTGAGTAGCACATGCAGTGCTCACACAAGGAGTTCCATGGGCTCCCATCGGCTGACCTTTGGGAGTAACTGCTATGCCCTGTGACTAAACATTTCACAGTCCTTCCCACCCATTGCCCCCATCATTGAACCATTTAGCTGCTCTTCAGTTTCTTGGAGGAAAAAGAGAAAGGAAACAATGATTAAACTTCAACCTTTCTGTTCCTTTTATTTTGACGTTGGGACACCCAGGAGGTCCAATAATCATAACAAATAACATTGTGCTTTCATCCATAGATTTCCAAGCCCTTCTCTTTTAATAAGGAAGTGAGAATCATCTCCATGTTATGGATAGGAAAACAGACCCATGGAGTAGACAAGTAGCTAGAGTTACCTGCCAATTCAATCAGGAATATAACCTAGGTTTCTGGAGCCCATCACCAGCTTTTTCCTCTTGGTCCCACTGCCTCCCATACAGGTCCCACCGGAAAGTTAAAGAAAAAATGTATTTGTCTCTCAGCTTTTACCACCTTAGATTGAGATCTAAATCTATAGAAACCAAAAGAAAAATGAAAATAAATGTATTCCTGTAATTCTTCAGTTATTTTTTTCTTAGTTGTCATTCACTGTGTGAGTCCCTGTTATCATATGGGAGTGGATTCAGCAATTTTCAAGGCATTTTTAACTGGTCTGTAGTTCTACTGGTAAGTGAAAAGCTGCCATGTAAATGCACAAGTCATAGATATTTGCTTAGTGTTTCTAACTCTAAAACATTGCTTGGAGTTGTTGAGAAGATTAAACCTTTTATGATGTAGTTGGTAATACTTTAAAAAACTGCTTGGTATTTCTTGTCTCCAGTTCCGAAATTTAGAACCAGCAGCTGTCACTTCTTTGTTGTACCACATCAATAACTTTCCATTCTGTGTGGCTGCATCTACGTGAGACACTGATTGCACAGTAGCTCGTTACTACTGCGCAGTAGTGTCACATGGCAGGAAGTGTGATGTGACGCTGGTGTGCAATAGTAATGGGCTACGTGCAGTCAGCATCACGAAAAAGCTGTTTGGTGATGCTACTGCACAGTGACTCCAGTTACTATGCAGTCATTTAGTACTTATTTATAAAAGTGCTAAATGACTGCGGAGTAACAACAGCACAGTCAGTGTCTCGTGTAGACGCGGCCTGTGTGTTTCCTTATATCCATCACAAGGTTTTTTGGGTAAATGCAATATATTTTATTAGACCAACTAAATAGTTGGAAAAACTGTTCTTTGCAAGCTTTCAGGCAGAAACACCCTTCTTCAGGTATAGGGAAGTTTGTGCCCAAAAGCTTGCAAACAATTTTCCAACTATTTAGTTGCTCTAATAAAAGGTACCACATTTACCCAAAGAACCTTGTCTGCCTATGTCCTTAGACCAACACAGCTACAACCAAGAACCCCTATATACATCACTAACTTTTTGCAAGAACAAGCAATTTAAAATTGTAAGGGAAAAGTTGGTAATAGTGCTTTTCCTTCAGAAAGAATTTGGGAAATCACTCATTCCAAATGAAGCTTCAACTAGCATGAGTGATAAGATTTTTTTATCACATCCCAGGGAATGTGTACAATTCCCACAGTTTTGTTGCCCCAAAATCAAGGGAGCTTTGTGTGGGTGAAGCAGTTGTAAAGAAATGAAAGAATCTGGCCCAATCTGTTTCTTGGGTTATTTGTTTGTTTGTTTTTTTGAGAGTTACCTTCTCTTAGCAGGAAAACTCAAACAGTTGCTCAAGTCACACTTAAACAAATTGCTCAAACAGTTGATCTTGCTCAAACAGTTGATCAAAGCAATCAGATGTTTCCTCAATTGTCATCATTAGAGTTTAACAATCTCTATCCTTGAACTGTGTTGCCATGCACAGCTGATTTCTTGTGGAGTTGTTAGACCCACTTCTCTTCCTGTTATAGGTGTACTCTGGTGTAACTTCATTCAGTAAACTGACTTCTGATTTAGAACACTATGACAGAAGTTTTACTGTCATCCCTAGACCCTAAGAATCTATTATTTTGTACAAAGAATAAACATGCCATCCAGAAATTAAAAATGGAATGCTAGTAATCAGCATGGGGGAGAAAAGAGACCATTTTCTTATATGAACCTGACCATTCATTTTCAATAGAACCATGAACTTGTTCTGAGCTACCCTAGCCATAACGATCAAAACATGCCAACAGAATCCAACCGTGTATGTTTGTATGAGGAAAACTAATTCTTACAGTTTGCAACCAGTCTAAATACAAATATTTCAAATGTATTTTTGCATAGAACTTTGAGGAAGTAATTTTGTTTCTTCACTCTAGGTTGTTACTCACGTTCACTTGAGTTTGGAGAATTTCATCAAGCAAAAAACATTTTTTCATTTCTGGGGAACTAGAATAAAAACTTGAATTTTAAAATACAGGATAAGTGGGTGTATATTCAGTGAAGTGTCATTCTGTGCTTAATCAGGAATCACAAGAGAACTAACTGCTTTCAGATTTTGCACAGAACATTTTCCATGGTTTCTGTGCCAATAATAATGTCCCAGGCTTCTCATTTACAGAAGACAACAAAGCCTCAGATTTGTAGTTTCAAATCTTGAAACCAGCATCTGGTTTCAAGATGAACCTAAACCTTCATCTTTTAGCTTGAACCTAAACTGTCATCTTTTAGCAATACAAATTTGAGTTCCATGATGTTTATGTAATAAATTAAGCTTGAAAAGCATAGGTACTTGTTTACTCTGCCTGAACATTAATGATCTCCTGACACATATTGCACAAGAACCATTTTACCTTTGTACCCTTGGAACCAGAATTCTTGTGCATCAACTAGCTGTGATGTTCATAAGCGTGTGCTTAAGTGGATTTAGGTGCCTACATGCAATTCTTGTCCTCCCTGCTAAAATCCCTGGAAAACAGTGCAAAAGGTGTGTGGGTCCTCTTCCTTGCTGCTTTTTTATGGATCTGTCTTAAGTAAGGTAACCATATGTCCCAATATAGCAGGGACAGTTCTGGATTTCAGAGGCTGGTCCCAGCTGGCTGGTGAGAAAATGAGCATCCCGGAAAAGCAGGAGTGCAGGGTCCAGCCCAGCCAAGAGCTGGAGCAGTGCAGAGTGGCACAACACACCAGGCAGGCACCACTGCTACCCATCTGCCCGCTGCATCATGCTGTCCCACCCCTGCCTGCAGCAGCACTGCTAGCTTGGGAGAGGAGTGTCCCAGATTTCCTATTCTCCCATGTGGTCACCCTAATCTTAAGAGTAAAATAATGGTGTATTGCACAAGTGATGCATTAAATGACTTTCATGGAGTAAAAACAGGGTGGAATAGAATCACACTTAAGCATCTAAAGTCCACTTAGATGCCCAACAAGTGGAATAGAATCTGGTTTAATTTGTCTACCTGACTGCTGCTCTCCTCTGCTATATGTAGCTCCATTTTGAGGCTGCTGTACACAGAGCCAAATTTAATTTAACTATTTTTCAGGTATGTAAGAATGGACGAAAATACAAAGGATTTTCTTCCATCACCCTTGTGTGCAGGTGCTGTTCAGAATCATATTATACAGCATTCTGCATCCTTTTAAGGGATCCTAGAGCTAGAATGCTCCATGTAGAGTTCATTTGCCACATACATAGGCCTTGTGTAGTCCCTAGCAAACCCAAAGATGCCTAGGACAAAATTTAGTCCATAGCTTTGTAAAATGGTTTGGAATTATTTGGAACAAAAATAGAAGTGAAGGGGCTGTTCTTCAGCTGACATAAATTAATCTAGCTCAGTTGAAGTTAATGTTGCTATATCATTTGACCCTTTCTGTGAGTTTGACCCATGTAATATGATTATTGTTGGCAGCACCACATGAAGAGTACTCTGAACTATTAGGAAAACCCATTAAGCTAGGAAAGGTAGAATGTGAACAAAGGAACAACTAAGAAGTCTATCTGACATGGAGTGAAACAGAGTTTATTGACATTTCCTGCTTCTTTAGGAGACCTTGAGCCTGACAGTGCAACCCAGAAAGCAGGCAGGGCTGACTAATAAGGGAGAAAACCAAATCCCTAGGAGGATGTGCTGACTCAAAGCATTTTCTGCAGATGTATCCCTGTCAAGGCTCCTACAAGACCTCTGACCAAATGTAGAGCTGGCACTTCTGGGTAATTATAAAAGGCAGTACCTCAGCTAGAGAAAAGAATGGGGCTGAGGAGAGGAGGGGTATGAATAGGAGAGGCAGGCATCTTGTCATAATTCGACAGTTGAGCAGAAGTAGAGAGGCTGTAGTTACAAGAATATTAAATCACAGCTTAATGGCAATACCTTATTGCTTTTCTCTCTCAGGTATGGACTGCTATTTGATCCCATAAAGATAATCTCAGTTTTCCTGAAAGATCCCTATAAGTGGCCAGCGATATGTCTCATTGCTGGTAACCTGACAGCATGCAGATGTCATCCACCAAATACCCAAGGGTATCACTTTTGAGTTTAGGAGTGTACTATGAAATATTAGAACAAATATATTTTCTCTGTTTTTTTGTGGATTGCAGTCAAGGCCCAGTTTTATCTCACAAACCCAGATGTGGGCTTTTGGCAAGGTTTATACCTCTGCTAAGAGAGGTTGTCTATCTTCTGGTTTTCTCTTTTCACATAATCCCATGCTGTCATCCAGTGATAGTGAAATAACAAAAAGATCCAGTTCAGCAAGAATGGCAGGCCCAGGGTGTACCTGGCTCATTAATTAGGAGTGATGCTGTGAGGCCTCTATTTTTATAAAATAAGGCTTTAGAATCTATTCCATTTTAGCAATGAAGCCTCAGCCAAATACACCAATGGGATTATAAACTGTAACTCTATTGAGAAAAATAAAGTTTGCATCCAGTGATGAATTTTGCCCCACCCTTATTTTTGAGAAATTACGTCTTAAGCTTCTAGGAGGAGAGATTCAAAGGAGCTGCTTCTGTTCTGTTCCATTCTTCTATGAGTGCCTTCCATTGATGCACTGAGAGACATGACTGACATAGATCCATAGGGGTCATGCTGTCTCAGTTTGGTGCTTTGTTTCAGTGAGAATGTGTTTTTTTGTTTACAAGTGTCCTTACTGCTCTGTGCTTATATTACAGAAGGCAGGTTGGAAGAATGTCTTGTACGCAAAGGTAGTGAGGTTTGTGATGGTCCTAGATGAGTTCATTCCACAGACTGAGACCAGAAAGCTCTGTCTCCTGCATAAGCAAAAGTTACTGTTATGGGAGAGAATTCCACTATAATTTCATCAGAATTAAAGTTCTGATTTCCACTAGGAAGAGTGAGATCACAAACTACTCTAGTTAATGTGATTCTGTTACTACCTCTGCATGCATAATTCTTGTTGAATTCAGGATGGCTGTAGAATTGTCTGCAGTGTCTGGAACTTAATTGTTTATGGAGCAGTTTGCTACACTTTTCTGACAAAGTATTAATATGAATATGCAAAAATTGTCAGGCTTTTAAGAAGTTAATTATTTTAAAAAATCTGAAGATAAACCCTGAAAATAAAGATCTGATAGTTACCCCAAACTGCAACAGGATGTTTATGAGAGCATTGTATTCAAGTTAATTTTAGCTTAAAATGCTAGGGTAATTTTCATTATGGACCACAGGAAAAGAGCTACTAGTGAGAACTGCACATATCTCATTACCCCATGTGAGGATAAGTGTTTGAAGTGTCCTTTGTTCCTTAGTTTTAAGTTTTCACTTGTGAAGTATTTTCCTTCATTTTATATTTCCTCAGTGGTTAGGAAGTGCAAGTATTCTGCTCAGATTGTCCAGAGCTGAAATAGCTGGATGTTCCCTACTAATTAGATTAGCAAAAAAAGGCTAGCAATGCTGAATTTAAGTTGGCAGCTTTAGGCACAAGAATTTAAATATCAGTGACATTAATGAGAACACATTACCAACCTTATAATCCTAAAAAGTGAAATGGTTCATACTAAACATGGTTTAATAGACTCTGGACAAAAGATGTAAGAGAGGCTACAGGAAAATATTTTGTTCTCTCTCCCAACTCAGCAACTTGATGAAGAGTGGGCTCTTGCTCATGTGTTTTAGTAACAACTGAGGCCTCTGTGCAGCTCTACACTTCTGCCTCTGCCATAGCACTCAGTTCCATTGCCTGCTGTTCCTTACATGGCCTGTCCCTTCTCTTGCAGTGGACCACAGTTATTCTATTGCTCGGAGGGCCTTGCATTTCTGAGAAGAAAGGGTTATCATTGGCCCTTGTAGCTATAGTTCCATTCTGTCTAACGTCTTATGACCTCATTTGGTCATGTTCAGAACATCTTCACAACCAGAATTGCTCTTATACACAAAGAGAAGCAAGGCTCTTTTGTGATATCTTTTGTTGGACCAACGGTATAGTTGGGAAGAGCAGTGGGACAAGCTTTTGGGTATCAGATGCCCTTCCTCAGGTCACCTGCATTATATACAGAAATTTGTAGGTCCCCAGAAAAGTATTAGTACAGAATTTCTTGATATATTTTTATTTCCCTTCTTTTCAGCCTCCATTTTGTTTGTGCTTCCTGCAGTTTTTATTGAAAGGTATTTAAAAAAGGTAAGCAAAGTGGTTGTCATTATGCAGTGTGCTTGTTCTTTATAATGGTTGATATTTCAGCCTAAAATTCCCACACTTTGGCACAATTAGCAGTCTTAGATTAGAAGACTGGAGTTAAAGAGTGTACTGGAGCATAGGCATGTTGACTGAGATGCCTGGGAGAAGCTTGCACCATGCCTGATTTTGCTTTCTGTCCAACCCTGCTATGAGATTCCCATGATCACTGCATTTTAACAGGCTCACCCTTACTTAAAAAGCATGTTATAAATAATCCCAAATGACCCCTGGCTACTGTAATAACAGAACATTCTTATCCTATTTTAGGTTTGTGGCTCTGAAAGCATTGGTTTGGTGTTACAGTCTGTTAACCTGTTTTTACTGATAACATTCCCAGCTGTGATGTTATGTAGAATTTAAGCATAACTCCAGGTGAGAGACTCATGTTGTGTTTGAGGTACAGTGAGGTACAGTATATTTCCAGCCCAGTGATGTCATGGCAGCATGGCACAAGCTTGATGTACTTATCTTCTGGTGTGAAGTTGTAAAAGAAGGGCTACTTTCCATACTATACTGTCTTTACATAGACAAAATTAAAAAGCATTTAAAAATGCATAGAGCAGTCTTGTTAATTCACTCTCATGTATTTTTTAAACAGTGCCACAGAATGACAGACATTAATTCTGACTTTGACATCTCAAAGGTTTGTTAGTAATGAAAATTCATACTAATAGGACCCATTTGGCCTGCGGAACATAAGAGAACAATTCTTAAAGACATTCTGCCTTCTTGTTTTAAAAATGTATTATCTGATCCTTTCTTTGTCCATGTATGTAGCTGCCATCAGAGATGGTGGTAATAAGCCTGTCAAATCTCCTCATGCTGAGTTCATGAAGACTTCTGTTAATTAGATGTATATACAGCAATCATTAGTCGATTGATTCCTAACCCTAGTTATTTTATGGATAGTTACACTATTTAGTGACTAATTGCATTAACATAGTATCTTTACTGTCATATGTAAATATGTTTTAAATATATATTTTAGAAAATGTTAAATGTCATGCACTTATTTTTATTCCCTTTCCAAGTACATTTGTGTGTAAATACGTCACCTTTATAAAAAGCTTGTTTTTTATGCCAAGTGTAGCCAGCAATATTCTCATCATTCAGTTGCAGCAAGAAGTCACTTCCACCGTAGTGATGCATGATACTTAAAACTACTGAATTATGTCAATGCTGATGGAATCTGGCTAAAGGTGACGGCTGATTATCAAAGAAAAATCTGCTGTTCACTTACACATGGGAAGGAAATACATAAAGGGCCAGATCTAGGAAACTGTAGGCCTGCAAATGTGCATAAAAATGTGAACTTTGTGATATAAGTGTGCTAATTGTGTGAACATTAGTAGACCAAAAGTTCTGAACCCTGGACCAAAACTGGCAGATTCACCAGTTTGCTAAAATATATAGTTTGCTTGGAAACAGCTGCTAAGTTTTTCAGCAGATGTCTAAGTAGAAGTGCTTTTTCCCTGTAGCTCACTGGACAAGCCTATTACAAAACTTGTACAGAATACTGCAATAGCTCCATCTACTGAAACAAATCATTGGAGACTCCCAAGAAGCCACAGCAAATTAATCTCCTACTCAGAACTCCAGTATTATAAGTATGTTCTGACACTTTCATGTCTCATGTGCTTTGTTTTATACAAAATAACAAACAAAAACTATACTAACAATTTTGAATGTGTGTGCACGTACATATGGGGAGGTGACATCTTTCATGAAGTCAAGTAAAATATTGTATAACAACATCTAGGCTAGGGACAGACATTGAAAAAGCCTGAGCCTGAATTGACTTAATCTTTGTAGGTTAGTCTAACCTGGCTAGGCTAAACCAGTTTGTAAGTGTGAAGACATCCCCTCTGGACTCAAAACTCAGGCACATGCCTGAAGTGGCTCAGCCTAGAAGCCGGGGGGCACTAGAGCAGCCCTGCCATCCCTTCCACAGGGCTGAGCTGAGGGGGGTGTGGCCAGGCCTGGGCAGGCTGCTCTGATGTCCCCCTGCCCTCCCCTCCCCCCCCAGCAGCCCAACAGGGAATGTTTATCACCCCTAACCCAATGTTTATCAACCCATTAAGAAAACAGAGCCTTTCTCCATTAGTTCAGGCTCAACTTAAACAGCTTTTCCAAGGAAGGACATTAACAGCTACGTGTTGATTAGCTCCAAAAACCTGTCTGCCTTTGTCACCTTCCTCAGCATGGGCTGTAGCAAGCATGTGGTCTGATAGCTAATGCTGAAAGGTGTCTGTGTAAAGCAGAGGGGCAGGAGGAATAATCCCTGCTTAACAGGGAAAAGCCAGGCAGATGCCCGCAGTCCCCCGGGGAGCACCAGCGAGGGAGCAGAGGGGAGGGGCTAGCTCTGCTGTTCCACAGCAGAGCCCTGCCCAGCACAGAGAGCATGCTGGGATGCTGGGGGAGTCTGGTTTATCTAAACCAGCAAGAAGCCTGGGACAGACATTGCATAAACTAGTTTGATCTGCCTTTGTCACCTTCCTCAGCATGGGCTGTAGCAAGCATGTGGTCTGATAGCTAATGCTGAAAGGTGTCTGTGTAAAGCAGAGGGGCAGGAGGAATAATCCCTGCTTAACAGGGAAAAGCCAGGCAGATGCCCGCAGTCCCCCGGGGAGCACCAGCGAGGGAGCAGAGGGGAGGGGCTAGCTCTGCTGTTCCACAGCAGAGCCCTGCCCAGCACAGAGAGCATGCTGGGATGCTGGGGGAGTCTGGTTTATCTAAACCAGCAAGAAGCCTGGGACAGACATTGCATAAACTAGTTTGACCAAAATCAGTTACCTCTGATACTACATTCAACCAGGTTTATCTCAAACCAGTTTCAGCCATTTTCAAACTGGTTTATTTGCACTGAACATCTTTTCTGTTATAGGTTTAAGCCAGTTTCTGATTACTTAAGCCGGTTTATGTATAATGTCTGTCCCTATCCCTAGGGAGAAGGAAACCATATTAGAATGGCTTTGCTATGCTTTATTATTTTAGCAATTTTGCCATTCAAAATCAGTGGGTAGCATTTCAGGAGCTGACAGACATGCAGGTCCCCATTCTAACTCATGGCACATTGCATAAAGCATCATGGGCTAGAGCAACCCCCTCCCTTTCACCTTCCAACCCAACAGACATGTACCTTTATCTGCTGGGTTAGGGAGGGGCAGGGGAAATCAAGCCTGTTTGCCTGCCTGTGCCATGATTGGGGCTGGGCTAATGCAGCCCTATCCCCCGAGGCCTCCCAGCTCTCTGGCTGTCTGCAGGAAGCTGGGCACAGGCAGGCAGTCTGATGCAGCCCTGCCCACAGTGCTGTCTGCAGGAAGGGGGAGGGGGGAGGGGCGAGGTGAGCTGTGGGCTGGGTTTCTCTGGCCTGAACTGAAGGAGGGGGGGCAGAGGGGATCTGTGAGGTGATGGGGAGGGTTCCAATCCACCCCTGCCCCCCACCAGCTCAGGCTGGGCAAACCCCAGCCCACAGCTCCCCATGCCCCTTCCCCCCTCCCTTCCTGCAGACAGCACCATGGGCAGGGCTGCATCAAATTGACCCTAGTGAACACAAGCTCCCTAAGACACTCCACTTTGGAGCACCTCCTTAGATGAGGGTTAATTTGTCACACAATCAGCCACTTTTAAAATGCTTTGCAATCATGCACGTGTGTCACAGCACGGCTGTACAGTGCTTTCAGAGGGCTAATCATGCAACAAATATAACTTCTGTCTGCGCCCACCATTACCACAGTTATTTTCTGTTCTCAGTGCAGAGAGAGTGTCTGGTACCTCTGATATGGCCTCCATGGTAACATGGTGATAAATGTTTTCTTTTCCATGGTAACCACTTACTGACTTCCTGAATCACAACTCCTATTTGTTTCAGGATTGATTTACTGTAATGCTGCCACAAGCTTCTCTGTATGAGCAGGGGACCTTTCATGATAGATGGATTTCATCTTGGGGCAAGCTGGCAGTATCTCCATTTCTGGTACACCTAAGGGATTCTAATAAGGGGAACATTTTAATTTCTAGGACACTAGTTCCCAATATTTTTAGATCCAAGGCACTCCTCAATAGATTTAAGGGACCACTTGGAAAATGCCAGCTCTTAATTTTAACTTGTTTTCTGACTACAGAAAATTATAGAGTAATTCTTTTGTTGCAAAGAACTTACAAAGCCCAAAACAGGGCAGACTATTTTTATGAATACCCACTTGAAATCTCTGGGTTTACTTTGTGAATTATGTTTGCACACCTAACATTGCTGACACTGTGTGGCACCCCACATCACCCTTGGAAAGATACCAAGGCACCTGATGTGGGACCCTAGTTGAGAATCACTGCTCTAGGGGCTTCATAGTCTTTTCCGCAAAGGCTGCAATGGGGATGAGCTACATTAGTATGTCCTTTGTCTGCCATGTCATGCCCTTTCCTTGGTTCAGAGCTGCCTTGGCCATTGCGGGCTCTCCTACAGCACCTCTAGGCAGACTTTCTGCTGCAGGGGCTCTTTACTATAAAGTCCATGTCAGTAGCAAATTGGTCCAAAATTTGCATAGATTGAAATGATCCCTCAGGAGATGTGTATCTTAGGGGACCTTATCTGAAGATAAAGGCATTAGTTTGAAGCTCTATGATATGGATGCATCAGGTAGGCTGCACTGACAGATCAATCTTCTTCATCTGATTAGCAAAGATAGACAAGCTTCTCATACTAAGGGTGTGTGCTGGGGAAGATAAATTAACCTGCTGTATCAGATCCAGATTCACTTTATTTTCTTTCCTTTTTTCTTAGTTGGAGGGCTGCTGACTCTGTTTGTGTATATCACCATTGCTCTGAAACTGGTCTCCTATTATCAGGTGAATCACTGGTATAGGGAAGGAAACTCCCGACCCACCAAAGGCACTGCCAGAATTCAAGGTCAGCAAACTTAAAACCCTTCCATTAGCCAAAGCTGTAAGAGACATTAAAATACTGTACTGTTATAAGTGGCTCTGTGGACTGAGCACAGGAATAGGGGATTCCTGGAGTCTACAGGCAACCCCCGCTTAATGCTGTTTCGCTTAGCGCTATAATGCTCATTTTAAATTCATACTTGATTTCACTTACCGCCCAGGGAGTTTCACTATAATGCTCACGATCACTATCTTGGATCATTAAAAATAATTGCAGTCACCATCTTGTGTCATCAAATACTTTTGGTTTCACTTAACGCTTGTTTCGCTTAATGCTCAGTTTTTCAGGAACCAATTAAGAACGCTAAGTGGGGGTTGCCTGTACTTTCAGCTCTGAGAATTCATCGTGTAGAAGTATAATGAACTCTGTGTGGATCTTTACCTTGTGATTGTTACCTCAATGTAAAAACACTCCTTTTTGGTATGGGCATAATGGTGAATAGTGGGCACCTATACACGTGCCCAACATGTGTAATTGGAACGCGTTGAAGCAGGCTCAATTAATCTAGTGCTAAAATAGTGCACTCCAGCAATCTTGGTGTCACGTGTATTCAGTGTCCCTGTGCTTCAAAATGGCGGAAGGGCACTTTAACTAAAGCTCATCAAATGAGCTTTAGTAAAAGCACTCCTGCTGCCATTTCAAAGTCTAGGTCACTGAATACACAAGACGCTGTGAGTGCTTTAATTAGAGCAGCTCCCAAGAGCCGCTTTAATTAAAGTACTTCCTCACCCACCCCAGAGCACATGTAAAGACACCAGGATGACTAAAATTATTTCAGTTTCTGCCTGACTGAGATCAGTAGAACAGATATAGGCCAATGCCAAGTTTCAGCCTGCTTGAAGTCTGACCTTTTCTTGCCTTTTTTGATCTCCTCCTCTTATAGTATATAGCCTCATCTTGTTTGCCTGAATTTACAGAATATCATGCACATATTCCTAAGAGGGAGGGGAAATTGTTGAATATGATTAAAAAAGAAAGTGCCCAAAACCTGATCTTTTCTCAGTCAAGATGTGATTCTCCTTGTGAAAAAGAGGAAGGATGGTCTAATATTAGGGTACTAGCCTGAAGTTTTAAAACCTGGGTTCAGCTCCCTGTTCCATCATAGACTCCCTGGGACAGTCACTTAGGCCCAGACCTTCAAAAGTGTTGAGGTGCCTAACTTAGTTGAAGTCTCAAAAATCAATGGGAACTAGGTGCCTTGATAGCGGTTATATCTTTGAGGATGGAGGTCTTGGCCTCTGCATACAGATGGAGAACTGAAGTATATCAGGATTAATAGCACTGCCCTAGAGAACAAGATGCTGAGGTGTTAAACTACTCTAGTGGGGAGGGGGACGTGTGCAGAATTAGAGAGAGAGAGAAAGAAAGTCAACTCTAATCCAGAGTGTTTGGAAAGGCTGGAAGAGTTAGCAGTAAATTGGTGTTGGTGCCCATCTCCTTGGACTTTGGGAAGGTTGAGCACTGTAGCACCTATTGCTTCTTGATATATAAGTCATTCATGACCTTGAATTCACTTGAAGCCATATGAAAGATTTTATATATGAATGTTGCATGCCTCCCACGGCTGGGGGGGCATGGCGACCTGCCTGCAGGTGGCAGGGGCATAGTGGCAGCGAGTGGGGAGCTTCTGCAGGTGACCATGGCAGTATTGGCAGTGGGGGCAGGCCAAGCGGGGAACTCCTGCAGGCAGCTGCAGTGGTGTTGAGGGGGGGGAAGCGAGTGCTGACCAGCGATCGGTGACCACCCTCAGATGCTGTCAGCACCACCGGCAGTGCCAGCAGCAGCCAATCTCAGGGGGTTCACGTATACCCCCTATGCATTGCCAATGATTTTATATCTTTTGTTAGCAGCAGAGTCTTCGAGCTACCAGTCTAGAAAGAATGAAAGAGGGCAGACAAAGCAGATCCTGTACACAGTGAACCTCAAAGTAAAAGGTAACATTGCTTCAGGTTGTCAGCAGGATATGTATAGTTTACACTGCATCGATGTAGCCACGGTGTTTTAGGAGGTGCATACCTACCTTATCCTTATAACCAAATGAACAAAGGTTGAGTTTATAATCACCCTTCTTAAAGGGATACCATCCATTAAAATCACAGTTCTGAAATTACTTAACTAGGTAATGTCATAAGTACATGTAAGACAGGGTGGGCAAAATACTACCCGTGGGCAGGATTTGGCCCATCAGGCCATTGTATCCAGCCCGTGAGGCCCCTAAAAATTTTGTAAATTAATATTTATTTGCTCCTGGCCGCCTGTCAAAGATGACAGGAGCCAGGGGCAGTAGGACCCAGGGGGAGCCGGCAGGACTGAGCAGCCCCACCCCGCCCCACCCCCAGCCATTTCCCTGCCTTCCTGCCTCTGCTCTGCTCTAGCACCACGTGGCTCCCAGCTGCATCCCCGAACCACAGGAGCACGGGGGCCGTGCCGGTTCCCTGGGGTGTGCATACATGTGTGTGTGTGTAGGGAGGGGCAGAGTGTGTGTGTGTTCATAGGGTGAATCCCACATGCACACCCCACCATACACATATACCCTCACCCCCTCTCACACTGCCATCCATGCAGACCCCCACAACTACATCCCCTCACATAACCCAGCCACTCTCCTCCCCACATACATCCCCCCACAAACCCTATACTCATCCACCCCCACATATCCACACACACCCCCACATGCCCTCACCCCACACCCACCCCCCACACCTATCCACCCCCACAGACACACCCACACCCTCCTCCACACCCCACATACCCACAGCCCCCCACAAACCTATACCCACTCCCCATTTCCTCCACCCCTCCACAATATACAAGAGTGAGACTTCATTTTAAGCTATTATAGACAATCACCTCTATGCACATTACACAAATGCATGTAAACCAGGACAAAAATATATTTTTAAAATCAATTAATGAATGTTGTAAATATTTGTTTTTTAGAATATAATTTTGTATTTTTCTGGTTCTTGAGATGGCAAAACCCCTTGCTGAAAGGAGTACTTTTGGGGGCAAGGGGAGAGACTTCTGGTGGCAAAGGTCAGGGGTTAAGAGGAAGGACTTCCGATCACAAGATGGCGACTAGGTGGGGGGGAAAAGGGGGAGAGCACCTGTCAAGGGGTACGGCTACCTGTGTCACCCTCGACAGCTTGCCAAAACTCAGTAAGTGGCCCTCCACCTAAAATAATTGCCTGCCTCTGATCTAAGACTATTAGAAATGAAAGAGAATAGCAAAAACAATAATTCACTGGTTTTAGTTTATTTTTGTGTATTTGACAGCTCTTTGGGGATAGGCAAGTTCACCATTCACTCCTGCATAGCCTGTTTTTTGTTGAAGTCTTTCACAAGACAATCAGTGCAAAAAATCTTGTTTCAAATAGAAATGATATTTGTACCTCAAAAGTACTTTTAAAATCGCGTGCGTGTGTGTATGATAAAAAAATCAGTCACTTAACCAGCACTTATGCCTTTTATGTGTTTGAAAAATCTCTGTGCCTTAACTAAAGCAGAGTTTTTCAGAGCTTAGCAACATTTATTATTTAGTTATCTAACTAGGATTCTAATGTTAGACATGCATTTTTTAAAAATCTTGTCTTTAAGTTCGATAGTTTGGTGTATGCTCCACAACACTAGTTTAACAAGCTTCTATGAAAAATGAACTATCTTTAAGTGCACCTCCACAGCAAGCAGCTAAGTGAGAATGTTATTTTATTAGCAGTTATGGAGAGAGAAGAGATCCCCATAAGAGAATGTCTGTGCCTTGGAGAGCTCTCTCTCTGCTATGTTGCCAGTTCTGCTATATCTCTGCAGAATTTGTGTTTTGTAGCTGTTGAATTCTGAATGAGTGCCATGCAGGCTTCTTAATGGGAGACATTACAGTATAGGCATCCTCAAGCAGTGCAGAGCATTTTAAAATAAACAGTGCTAACTTAGTACAGTCACCCTGACTTACAAATGCTGTGAATTTTACCTGCTGTGAAATATACACTGAAGTGACCTGGCCCTTTAGCTTTGTCCTAATATCATGGTTATTGTGTCCAGGGGGGGTCCAGGCTATTGTGCCTAGAAGAGGAAAAGATAATGAGTGAAATTTTGACCCCCCTTGTAAAGTCAATAGAAAATTCCCCTTGACTTCAGTGGGCCAAGATTTCACTTAAAATCAAATAATTCCTAACTGCTAAAAGCGCAACATCAAACAAGAATTGTAAAAAAAACAAAACAAAAACCCCAAACAAAAAACTTTAAGCCATGCTTAAGAGTTGTGTTGTGCCTGTCCCTTTTGTGTTCATGAGGGGAAAGGGAGGGCAAGGAGCCTGCTTCACACACATTCTCCATGCAGGGACTGACCACACTTGCAACCATTGTGTTTCCTTGAGCACAACGCCTGCACCTGATTGCCACAATAATCACCAAAGCTGAGGTAAAGACAGGTGTCTCTGGTGGGTTATGGAATAGAGAAAATCCCACACAATTTACTGATTTGTTTGATGCACTGGCTGACGGAGTAGTTAGTTGATTGCACAATTTCACAATGATTGCACACTTAATTCATACAACACAATTTTATTTTTAAATTCTTTGCTACGCATATAACACTGCTTAGCTTTAAGAAATACCACAAACATTAAGAACACAATAACTACATATATCAGAAACAATGCTCCAAATGCACTTCCTTAAAACAATTACAGTTACAACTAAAAGTTAAATTTGAATCAATACTATTATTTTTCATAATATACTTACAATCCTAGAATTCCGAGAAGCCAAACACCTAGATATGCTTTCATTCCTCAGTAGTACAATTTAATGGGTTGGCCTCAGTAGTACAGTTCAATGGGCTGGCCTCAATACTGATAGGACTAAATCCCCTTCCTTCAGTCCCTTTTGGGCACTCTGCGGCTTCAGCGTGAACTAAGAGAGCCGTGTTCATGGAGAGGGTGGTTCAGGTGTTCAGTCTGATCCGGCCTATACTTGCGATTCTTCCTTCATTGTTCTGCAAGTGAGGTTACCTCCAAATTGGGACAGTAGGTTACAGTTTTTATTGAGTGAGTTGCCATCTTGGGCCCCTCCTACCCAAACCTGTCACTGCTCCCAAATTTGGGCTCGGATCTTTCTTAACAGATTCTTTTGCTTGGTAAGCAGTTTCTTTTCTTGACCATTCAATTACTTTGGGGAATTTCCTTTCTTTCTAATCTTTTCAAAGGCCCTAGGGTTTGATCTCTCTGAATGTGGGATGTTTGCTTAAGGGTCATTTTTATGTTAACTTTGTTAAAGGCCTCTAGAGATAAAATTCAAGAGTTAAGACTTTGAGAAAAGTCAGGACCTTCCACAGGTAGACCAAAACAATGGCCTAGATAAGAAGATAAATCTTGTCTTCTTCCTGAACTGGCTAATGGGCAACTATTACAAACATTCAAACTATTTCATTCAATATGACAACAGGGTCATGGCTCTTTCAGGGTAGGACAGCAACTGTAATTCTTAGGATCTCTACAAGACTACTCAGCACCACCTGTATCTCAGGCTGTTTTCTACTGTCCTAGTATAGTTCACTCACCCACTTCTTCTGAAATTGACTTTTATCAGGAGTTATTCACACAGTAGAGGTCAGGATCTAGCCTTAGATGATCTGTCAGTGGAGTCGCAGACATTGACAGAGTGCCATGTGTGATCAGAATGTTTTTTCCATAGCCTAAGGATACTGTGTGATTCTGGTTACACTTGGAATATCAGTTTATGTGTACTTAACAGTATGACAACATATATTCATTTTCCTGTTCCTTCTAGCAGCATCAGACTTAACTGGTGAAGTATGTATTGATACAAACCACAGTCCTTTACAGTAACAATGACTGTAGCTGAAATTCAATAGGTAGCCTGAATATTAAAGTAGGTCTGCCAAGTAAAGTGGATTTTTTAAAGAACATGCTATTTATGATATTTTTCTTCCCCCCACCCCACCCCTGCCAAGACCCTTACTACTTCCTGCTGGCCCCCATACTTTGCTACCAGCTGAATTTCCCAAGACAAAAGCAATGCAGACAAGGCTATATCATTTGGAGACTCATTGAAATGGTAAGAAAAAGATCTGCATTTAAAATGATCCACTTCTTCAGCCCTGCCATGGGTACTAACTGTAAATCATTGAAATATATGGCTGGAAGAGACCTCAAGAGGTCATTATGTCCAACCCCATGTTTAGGCCTGGATCATTCCTGTAAAACTGTGATTCTCAACCAGGGTGCCGCAGCACAAGATAAACCCAGAGATTTCAAATAGGAATTCCTAATGTTAAAACTATTCTGCTCTGTTGCTGTCTAAAGTTCTTTGCAACAGAAGAATTTCTACAGAATTTTTCTGTACTTGAATAACAAGTGAAAACTAAGAGCTAGCATTTTCTGAGGGGTGTCCTGAGTCTAAAAAGGTTGAGATCTACTGCTGTAAATCATCCTAGACAAATATGTGCCTAGCTTCACTTAAAAATGTCCCATGATAGATATCTACACCTTCTCAAAGTGGGTACCTGCTCCAATGCCCAACCACCCTCATAGTCAGAAAGTTCTCCCAATCCAATCTAAATTTCTCTTGTTGCAATTTAAGCCCATTTATCAGTGAATGCAGTAGACTTTGAAGTTTTACACTGTGGGTGACATTGTATGCATTTTCCTGAATACTGGTGCTACAAGTCTGAGCCAGATGCTCATTATCTCGTGAACATGTTTTCCCCTGATGTTTTACAAACCCAGAAGGTCCATTTCTGCAATATTAAAAAAAAAGATTTCCTTAGTTCTCTAAGGAAAAGCATTCTTCCAGCTCTTAATCTACAAAGGCACAATACAAGTACACCATACTGAAACGTGACAATCACCAGTGCTGTCTGCAGCTTCCTTTAGTTTCTTTGAAACAAATTATGCTACAGTTGTACTGTTAAATTACATCAACTCAGTGTAACTTTCACTCTTCACTGACATTTTACAAATCGTGGGTATGTCACACAGATTCCTATATAACCTCTCCACCACACAGATTCTTCAGGACGCGTGTGGAAAATTAGTTTTGGCCATCTTGGATGATCTTAATAAGAGAACTCCCTAAATAGTGGTCATAGAAAACTCTGTTTCATAGTAACCCTTACATGGAAGCTTCCCTTTTCAGCCTGATAAGCATTGGCCATCTGGGTCAGTGAAACTGGTGTGAAGTGTCTGGAACTCTCTCAGCTCCAGCCAACTCAAGGAGCAAAGCACCAAACATAGCACCCACACATGGATCCACTCTGTGTAGCAGCCACTGTCCACTTTTCAGTCTGACCTTTAGTCCATCATTAATGTAGGAAACGCAAAGTTAAAATTCTACCAAAAATTTTATGAAAATGGTGAGAAGTCCTTGCATTTTGAAGGTTCAGATGTTTGACATCTTGTATTAGGTGAAGTCGTATATCAGAAAGCACAACATCCAAGAAGACTGTCACCAGAGGGGTATAGCACAAGCAATTTCAATGTCAGTTAATTGCACTTGAAGAGGCTGTTGTTGTTATGGTAATAGATTGGAGATCTGCAGTGTTGCCATGGGATATGGTGAAATCAGCCTGAGGGAATCCAGGAAAGGCTCTGAAGCCCTCTCTTGGTTTGTTTTTTTGCAGGTATTTCTCTTCCATCTCATGCTGGGGCTAATCCAGCAGGTATGATTTTATTTTATTTTTTGGGTGGGGGGGATGTCTATAGTTCAACCCCAGGGATTCAGTTGCTTCAGAATGGTAATGAGGTCTGCTGTGATGTGCCCCTTAACACCAGAAGCTGATTAGGACTAATCTTTATCACTTTATTTTCTTTACTTTCAAAATATGCCCCTACATCTACTTTTAATAAGTACATATTTTGGAAACTGATTGATTTGTTTATTATGTACCTTCATACTCTCATCTGTTGGGACATAATACCCCAGCGTTCTACTGCAAGAACACAGTGCCTGTATAATACAGCAGTGGGTCAGACCTGTTAGGCAGTGAGGCAAACAACACCTTTTAGCTGTGTTGTGAGACCTCCATCACCTTTGTCTTGCTCCTCCCTAGCAGTCTATGAATCAAGTTAAAGACTGAATCCACATACTAAGAGAGAGTACAAGGAAAGTAGCCAGCCACTGTCTCTGTTGTTTGTCACCAAGAGTTTTTAAAGCAATACTCCAGATTCCCCAGGCTTCCAGTCACAAAAGTGCAGCTGGGCAATTCTGCACCCTGAGCAGCAGTGGCATGTGGGGCAACACCAAAAGCCAGGTTGCTGGCAGCTGCTATTTTTGTGTCTATGTTGTGTTCCCCCTTCAAAGTCAATGCCTGGGGCTGGTGCCCCACTCAACCCCTGCTTTGTTAGATTGCTGTCTATTCATCTCAGTTGTTCCTCTAACAGCAAACTGCAAAAACACCTAATAGCAAAGGTCTAAACTTTCCTTATTAGAAAGTGGTGTTAAATGACACCGGAATTTATACCTGTTTCTGGAAGCCACCCAGTTAGAAAGTTAAATCCTGAAAATGTACAAATATCTATACACAAATATGTTCATGTCTCACACTGACTAGTGGAGCATTTAACTGGGACTCAAGAAACCTGTATTTTGTTCCCATTACTGCCACTGACCTGCTAGGTGACACGAGCAAATCTCTCTGCTGCACAAAGATTTGCTCTGTGCCTCAGTTTCCCCACCTGTAAAATGGGAACAACAATGCTGGCCTCCTTTCAAGGTGCTTTACAATCTTCTGATGTAAAGCTCTATATGAGAGCTATGTATAACCACAATAATAGTAATAATAAAATATATATTTGTTTCCAATTCCCGTTCTTACACCTAGCTCACCTAGCTCACCTGCTTATCCTGTTCACACTGTGTCAAGAGTTATCATTGGTCTGGTTGTTCAGTAATTTCCCCATCAAGGTTTTATTCCAAAATCCCTTGAGCCTGAAACAGTAGCAAATGAGTGAGTGCAGTGGAGGAGGATTCAGTTAGATAGGGTTTTTTTTTCCAGTAATCAAGTGTAATGTTAATTATAGCATAATAATGGTCTAGTTAATAATCTACCTCATAAACTCCTAACTCTACCTACATACTTTAAAAAAATCTCTCTGCAAAGTGTCAATCTAAGATGCCCCCTTTTGCACCATAGTAACAAGTGCTAAGGATTCTGCTTTGCTGCAGTAAACCATCCCCACACCCCCATTTGATTTCATGCCTTTTGCTCACAGCTCGAGAAGATAAAAGAGCTTTGTATCCTAACATTTCTCTGAGCCCTGCTCTCCCCAGTGTAGGAGGATACCAAGTTCTGCTCCATATCTGAAGTGATAGTGAGGGCATTATGGAATGTCACAGTCTTCAGGACAAAAAGGAATCACTCATCTGTAGGCTAGGATGCAACTATTTAACTGGGTGTTAACTCTTCTTCTAGCTCTTCAGTTTGTTTGACAGCCTTGGAAATGGTTTGTATGCTACAGAGGCTGCAGCCCTGTTTTCTCCTGGTAACAGAGACATAAAATAATGAGTCACTTTGCAAAACCTTCCAGAAAGAGCTGTTTGTGTCCTCATCATTGTCTCTGTATTTTTTCTTTCAGTGGATTGTATCAAATATAAATAAATCAATGAAGCCCATAAATATAAGCAAATAATACCTTCTTATTTTCTTTAACCCAATTCTGTTTTATCTCAGTGCTCGAGATAATGTTAATCAGTTCTGTTTATTTCTGCAGGAAATAGAGTCCACCTTGCTCACAGAATACATTGTAAAACTAGTGGTAAGGTCAATCTGTATGCTTTTGCACTCACTGGTAACCATTAACCTGATGCTTATCTATGAGAGATTTCCCTTTGTAACAGAAAGCAAAGGAGATCTGGAGGTGCAAGGGGTTCAGTCGCATACTAATTCCATTCCCTTCCATTTGTCAGTCTTTGGCTTTTATAGTGCTGCTATCACTAACCTCCTTTTTCAGTGCTTCCAAAACTTCTGATGAAGAACACTATGTATAACAACAACAACAACCATGTTAAACAGCAATGGCAAAGTCCATGGTAGATTCCCTAGAGCAGTGTTTTTCAGCCTGTGAGCTGGGACTCAAAAGTGGGTCACAAGAATATATGAAAGGGTTGCAAACAAACTTTAAAAATGAATCGACAAACTTTAAAAATGGATTCTCTTTAAAGGAGAAAAATGTGGGAAACTATGGCTTTTCCCTTGCAGGCTGGCAGAATTCCAGCCTGCGAGGGGCTGCTTGGGGCTGCCCCTGCCCCACGCACTGAGAGTCTGGGGTTGGGAGTGAGAGGCACTGAGTCGGGACTGGCCATTGTTTACAAATGGGTCCTGGTACAAAAAAGGTTGAGAACTACTGCCCTAGAGTGGTTTACTCCCTTCTCAGGGTCAGAACTCCTCTTGGGACATGGTGGCTTTTCCCCCTTTTTTTTAGCAGGGATGTTGGGCAAAAGCAGGCTGAAGGGGCATCTGATTTATAAGTATCATTCGTATGGTAGAAGAGTTTTTTTCAAAGAACAATAAATTATAGTATATCTTAAAGAGAAATCAGAGTCTGGATCCACCTGTTTTCCTCTAGAAGTTTGTTTCTTAACCTGCGCCCTTGACCTAAGATTTCTTTGATCTCACTTACTTATATTCTTCATTCTGGGCCCAATATCTGCATGGTCCCAGAGGATGGTATTGATAGTGCTTTGTAGATCAAAATCTGGCTTTAATATAGCCATTAACTTCTTTCAATACAAGGACTGAGGCTTTAAACTGCCTTGGAAAAGGTGTACAGCAGCATTCTGTATTAAGTGAAGCCTGTGCATCATCTATGCATCCAGCTTCAAATACAGGCAATTCCATTAACGTAGCCTGTAGCTGACTAATACATGGATCATTGGGGGCTGGAAGGGACAGTTTCCTAGTGAACAGAAATGGAAGCACTTTTGTTGAGTTAGCAGCTATATCTTTTCCTGAAATTCTTAACTGCCTCATATATGAGAAGATGATCAACTCCCTGATGGAACCCTAGACTTCCC